CCAACAACGTCAATGCTTTTCATCCCCATTAAATAAGCAAGGCTATTCCTGTAATTTCGTGAAATCCAGGCATAAGAGTTGGACAACTTTTTGGTTTGTCATTAAAGAGTGGTGTTTACATATATTCTGGACTAATAAAAACAACGAAATATAACACATTTGGTCATATTGGCGACAGAGAGCATTAAGCCCAATATAGGTTCGGAACGCAGCCCTCAGTAGGCTACTGGCTAGCTATATGATAGACCTGAGCACCGCGCCAAATCCGATAATTTACCAGTTATAGCGGGTCACATGAGTCAGGCAAGTACAGATGGCTGCTATATTAATAACCAGATAACGGTGTGTGGATAAATTAGGTAAATAATTTAACACCGCATTATATTGCCTATTGTTCTACACGTTGATCGAGGTCAAGGGGCACACTTTGTGACTGGTTAAAACCAGGGGGAGGGAGCAGAAGCGGCAGGTACAAACAGCCACTTTCATAAAAATGCCTTTTCTACAGAGGAGTGTGCTAATCTGAAAATGCACAGATGATCCTATTAGGCATGGGTAAAATGAAAATTTTCAAATGTCATTGACAGTCTGCACTGTAGTTTAGTCTAAGCCGCAGGTGACTGGATAAAACGAGGGTAAAAGAGTGTAAGTATAACTTATTTGGTAAGAGAGAGATAGAGAGAGAGAGAGAGAGAGAGAGAGAGCGAGAGAGCGAGAGAGAGAGAGAGCGAGAGAGAGAGAGAGAGAGAGAGAGAGAGAGAGTGCGCGCGCGGCTACTTTGAGCGCAAGCAAGCAGACGTGTGCGTGTGCGTGGCGGGCTTACTTAGAAAGTGTGTTCTATCCAGAGTCCTGAGGGACATTGATCACAGTGTGTGGAACGGACCCGAGCGCTCACCAGCTGACAGCGCGTGCTTCAATGAGGCTATCCAACACCTTGGATCACCCGCCTGCCAACAATAGCCTGAAATTAATGCACACTCCGATTACAATTCATTTAGTAAATGTTACCAAAACTCCACATTTAAACCAATGTTATGGGTAGGCCTAGAGTGAAAATGATTTTACTCAAAGTATTACTGGTTACAGTTAGCCTACTTATTTTTGGAGGAAGGTGCCATGCACTGTTGCTCTAAAGTAAACCATAAAATATTAATATTAAATGTATTCTAATTCCTAATTATATGCTCTAAACACTCAAGTTAGAATGCATAATTGCTGGACCAGAGGCTCAAACTTACAATTTGTAAGTTGCTCTGGATAAGAGCGTCTGCTAAATGATGTAAATGTAAATGTATAAAGAGCGATTTGTGGACACGTTTTTTAACCATAATTCACTTACAATAAATTACAGGGAAAATTGGGTGTCGTTTTTTAAAAATTGATTTGAGATATTTACATAAAGATAATGCTTTTTATTCAAGATATATTTTGTGCGCTATAAAGATATTTTAGTGATGGTTTAACTTTTACGTAAGCGTCTGATAGGCATAGGCTATTTAGTGGTTTGTTTTTTGAGCTCTTAAATGATATAATGCATTTGCAAACTATTTGAATTATGATTTATAAAATGATTTGACACAATAATAATAATAATAATAATAATTTAACATAGGCTATTTCAAGCCAACAATCCATACTAAAGATGCACAGACTTCAGGTAAACAAAGATGAACGGATGACTTTAGGGCCTAGGGATAGGCCTATATGCAGGAAAAAGTGAGTCAAAACAACAAGAAAATAAAAGTAGCCTATCACTATTAGTTTTATATAGCCTACACATACACCGACTTATCTTGAATATACACGAGGTCACAGAAAATGATTTTGTTTTAGACATTTAAATAATGAAGTCACTTCTCTACTGACAGCTAAACCCCTACTATATGGTTTATTTATAAATGCATTTGATAAAACAACCATAATAATAATAATCATACCTATAATATGTGTAATAGATAGGCATGTACAGTGGGGAGAACAAGTATTTGATACACTGCCGATTTTGCAGGTTTTCCTACTTACAAAGCATGTAGAGGTCTGTAATTTTTATCATAGTTACACTTAAACTGTGAGAGACGGAATCTAAAACAAAAATCCAGAAAATCACATTGTATGATTTTTAAGTAATTAATTTGCATTTTATTGCATGACATAAGTATTTGATCACCTACCAACCAGTAAGAATTCCGGCTCTCACAAACCTGTTCGTTTTTCTTTAAGAAGCCCTCCTGTTCTCCACTCATTACCTGTATTAACTGCACCTGTTTGAACTCGTTACCTGTATAAAAGACACCTGTCCACACACTCAATCAAACAGACTCCAACCTCTCCACATTGGCCAAGACCAGAGAGCTGTGGAAGGACATCAGGGATAAAATTGTAGACCTGCACAAGGCTGGGATGGGCTACAGGACAATAGGCAAGCAGCTTGGTGAGAAGGCAACAACTGTTGGCGCAATTATTAGAAAATGGAAGAAGTTCAAGATGACGGTCAATCACCCTCGGTCTGGGGCTCCATGCAAGATCTCACCTCGTGGGGCATCAATGATCATGAGGAAGGTGAGGGATCAGCCCAGAACTACACGGCAGGACCTGGTCAATGACCTGAAGAGAGCTGGGACCACAGTCTCAAAGAAAACCATTAGTAACACACTACGCCGTCATGGATTAAAATCCTGCAGTGCACGCAAGGTCCCCCTGCTCAAGTCAGCGCATGTCCAGGCCCGTCTGAAGTTTGCCAATGACCATCTGGATGATCCAGAGGAGGAATGGGAGAAGGTCATGTGGTCTGATGAGACAAAATAGAGCTTTTTGGTCTAAACTCCACTCGCCGTGTTTGGAGGAAGAAGAAGGATGAGTACAACCCCAAGAACACCATCCCAACCGTGAAGCATGGAGGTGGAAACATCATTCTTTGGTGATGCTTTTCTGCAAAGGGGACAGGACGACAGCACCGGAAGGATGGATGGGGCCATGTATCGCGAGATCTTGGCCAACAACCTCCTTCCCTCAGTAAGAGCATTGAAGATGGGTCGTGGCTGGGTCTTCCAGCATGACAACGACCCGAAACACACAGCCAGGGCAACTAAGGAGTGGCTCCGTAAGAGGCATCTCAAGGTCCTGGAGTGGCCTAGCCAGTCTCCAGACCTGAACCCAATAGAAAATCTTTGGAGGGAGCTGAAAGTCCGTATTGCCCAGCGACAGCCCCGAAACCTGAAGGATCTGGAGGAGGTCTGTATGGAGGAGTGGGCCAAAATCCCTGCTGCATTGTGTGCAAACCTGGTCAAGACCTACAGGAAATGTATGATCTCTGTAATTGCAAACAAAGGTTTCTGTACCAAATATTAAGTTCTGCTTTTCTGATGTATCAAATACTTATGTCATGCAATAAAATGCAAATGAATTACTTAAAAATCATACATTGTGATTTTCTGGATTTTTGTTTTAGATTCCGTCTCTCACAGTTGAAGTGTACCTATGATAAAAATTACAGACCTCTACATGCTTTGTAAGTAGGAAAACCTGCAAAATCGGCAGTGTATCAAATACTTGTTCTCCCCACTGTAATTATAATACTACCACCACTACCACTACTACTACTACTACTACTACTACTACTACTACTACTACTACTACGTCTACTACTACTACTACTACTACTACTACTACTACTACTACTAATATTACCACCAGTACTACCACTACTACTACTACTACTACTAAGTATGAAAAATGTATGCACTCACTAACTGTAAGTCGCTCTGGATAAGAGTGTCTGCTAAATGACTAAAATGTAAATGTTCTACTACTACCACTACTACTACTACTACTACTACTACTACTACCACCACTACTACTACTACTACTACTACTACTACCACCACCACTACTACTACTACTACTACTACTACTATTACTACTACTACTAATAAAAATAATAATCATCATCATATTTCCCCTCTTTCCCGCAAGTGTTCCTGCGTGTCATGCAATGGGAAAATAATTGTTATCATGGTCCTTCATGGAATAGTTGTGTGACGGTTGTGTTCATATAGGCCATCTATTTTCTTCGCTAATCAAGATTTGCCATTTTGCAGACGCTTTTATTCAAAGGGACTTACAGTCATGTGCGCATACATTTTTACGTATGGGTGATCCCGGGGATCGAACCCACTACCCTGGTGTTACAAGCGCCATGCTCTACCAATTGAGCTACAGCGGATCAACATCTTGAAACACGAAACAACAGAAAATGATGGTTTTCAACTTGCTTATTTTATTCTCAAAATGATAAGAACATAAACCAGTTAATGGCAAATCAGGTTTTTGAAACATTTGAAATGACACATTTAATTGAAAAATAAATGAAAACAGTTAGGAATAAATAAACTTCAATTATCCAATGAAAGCACAGACACACATGTTAATTTGATGTGAATAGCCACAAATACAAAAATAACATAAAATGGCTATATTAAATATCAAATTGGCAGTACTACTAGGCCTACAAAAAAAACAATGGTTCAATAACAAAGTAATGTTGCTCCAAGCCTCTGGCTCGTGTTTTAAAGTGCGCATTGTTAACTTTAGAAGTCGCAAACAAATTCATATGGGTCATTTACAAACAATGAAATCATAATGAAATCATGATCACGAGCAGTATAAGGAAATACAATTACAAACGTCCTTTACAAATATCAGGCAATTTCTTGGAAGACAGCGTTTTGTCCATGATGTGGGATTGGGAAAGCCCGTGGCAATGCTGCGCGCGACAGTCGACATGGCAGAGGGGTCTTTCCCTATATGTCCCAAGGAGAAGGTCAATTATATTGGCAGAACCGAATTATCTGACATAAAATCATCTTTATCTAACAGTTAATAAAATAGAACTCTCAAACGAAACAAAATTATTTCGGAAAGCCCAATCTATCATACTATAGAATGTAGGCTATGCTAGCATCAGATATTATTGACACGATTAGAAAGTCTCTGGTGAAGTTTCAAAATGAGTGATGGCTGGGAAGTTTGAGTTCAGATAGTTCGTCTTCACTCTGGATCTCCATCTGCATCTCATCCGAGTCGCTGAAATGAGAGTGAGGGGAGAACTCTCCGTCGCTGCGGTTCGACCGGGGGGAGTCTTTTCTGCTCTCCGACCCGGAAGTGGGTGTCCCTGAGGGAGAGCGTATCTCCTGCTCCATCAAAGCAGAGAACGAGCCGTCTTCGAAGGGGAATGGGATCCCGTTAAGCTGGACCGGTAGCCCCGTGCCTGCGCCCCTTCGGCAGGTGGATGCGGAGGATCCCCGGGGACTCTCCTTGGCTGACAACAGGTCACACTTTGGCGAGTCAACACCGGGACCCTGCAGTAGGTCCGCCAGCGCGTTTATGTAGATCTGGGCCATCTGCAGGGTATCGTATTTGGAGAGCTTCTTGTCATCGTCGAAAGCAGGGATGACACTGCGCAGCTCGTCAAACGCATGGTTCAGTCCATGCATCCGTCTTCTCTCCCGCGCATTGGCAGCCTGGCGCCTCTGCTTCTGGACTCCGTTGCCAGGTTTGGATGGGGCTCTATGTCTGCCTTCCTCAGTGCTCACCGAACCCTTGAGCCGACACAACTCCCGCACTTTGAGCGGACTCTTGGAACTCTTTCTAAAGTTTGGGCTGTGGCCGGATGCGGGGGACATGCTTGAGCTGGGCGAGTGCAGCAGGTATTCGGCGTGTGCCGCGCAGGTGCCCGCAGGCTGCACGGGAGCCAGCCAGGACGCGTGGGTCACTGCTGTCCATGAGTGCCAGACTTGATGGGTACTCGCTCTGCTCCCCCCTCTCCACTCTGGAGTGCTGCACCTTGCTCATCTCCTTCGCGTGTTTACTCCATTCCTCAACGCTGATAACATCCATTTCAAAAAACGATAAATCAGGTGGCTTGCAGGACTGAAGAACTTAACCAAATTTAAAATGCTGTCAATAACGTTTCTTTATCAACGTGTGCTTGCACTGTGTCAGGTGCAGGACTCCTCTAGCGTCTCAAGGCGCGGCGTCGCTTTAAAAAGCGGCACGCGCCTAGGAGCCCCCCTTCTCATGCTGGTCGCGTGGCGCTTTGACCAATAAGAGCGGTTGGGGCAGGCGCGTGTTGGCGACCAATGAGAAGTCTCGGTAAACCCGAGAGAGGTTATTATGTCCCGACTGTTTATAATAATGTCTCGGTTTAAAGACTGTTTAACGGGGTGGCTAGCACAAAGGGTAGTCCCTCAGAACACACACATGGGATAGAACAATATGGTTAGGAGTGTGGAGTGCTTCAGCTCGTGGACTGCTTGAGGATGTCCATGCACCTGCCCAATCCCACAGGCATGTGTGTTTCTTTGGCTCATGCCAAACATCTCACATTCTACAGATAGAGAGTAGTTTCAAAATTGGCAATGTATGCATCATAGGCTAGGGACTAATGTCCAGAATACTGCCATGAAAGGAATCATGCACTTCATTTGTCAAATTAAAATGGATGATCATAAAGTGATAATCATCATCATCCCCACCATCATCATCATTATCATCAAGTCCCTTGTGGCTATATAGGGCCTATACATTTTGGCCCGTTTACAAGTTACTCAACATTAAAATAAAAATGTGTCCAAGGCAAAACTTTTGAAATGCTGAAAATATTTTCCATATACTGTAGCTCCAATGTCCAGAAATGTGGCTAAGCGTTAAGGTAATGTTTACCATTTCCAGACTTAAATTCAGAAAGTCATTTAATCCATGCACGAAAAGGGTAGCCTCGTACGAACCATTCTGATTTTGCGAGTTTACATTCTTTTTCGGTAGCTTTCGGTAGCGAAACAGAATGTATGCTCCCAGGATCAGGATTGTTCCTATGAGGCTACGAAAAGGGCGCCAGCTAGGCAAAGAATATAACATTCTGCAATCTTAGAAAAAAAATGTTATTTGGGGTTCTTTTTGTAGAACACATTTTGATTCAGTGAAGTAGAACCCCCAGGGTTCTGATGAAAGAACCCTATAAAAGGGTTCCATATATGAACCAAGCGAACCCTTTTGGGTTCTATATGGAACCTTTTTCTTAAGAGTGTGGACTGGTTTAAAGGACTGAAAAAAGTTTGACCAAAGAACTCAGTTCCTGGGGTTCGTGCTCATTGTCAATTCACCGCTTCTCCATTCTATGAATGTTAATGCCATCTCGAGTTTCATTTTCTTTTGTACAGGTTCAAAACCTTTTGATCCGATTTACGGAACGCCCTGTTGGCAAAGAGCTTCACAGGGACCGGAAACATGAGCTGTGGGGCTCGACAGCGCTTTTACTGTCAGAAGAGCAGTTGCAAGCACATAGAAAGTAGAGAGGTGTGAGGGGATGTGTGTGAGGGAATATGTGTAAGCGAGTGCGTGTGTGAGGGAGTGTGTGAGCGTGTGAGGGTGTGAGGGAATGTGTGAGTGAGGAGTGTGTGGAACATCGTGCTCGCAGCATATAATTTCAGACGGACCCACTCCCTTTACTGCCACTGAACAGTAAATATCATAGAAGGATAAGAAAATGACATATATCTGAACGAATTAAAGATATAAAATCAGATTGGTGTCTCTGAGAATATGAAAAAAATAGGATACAAACTACTGTTAAATAAACGATTCATAATAGACAATATGCAAACCAGTCACAATGTCACTTTCTGAACTCTCAGTTAAAAGGAAAATATATAAGGCTACTGAATAATAATAATAATAATAATAATAATAATAATAATAATAATACTATAGAGGAAAGGAAGTCAAACAAATAAATACATAGCAGGATTAGATTCATGTAATGTCAATGTCTTCAGATATTATTTTAGTTAATTATATTATAATATTATTCGAAAGGCTATATGTATGCTGAAGCTGAAACAATTGTACATAGGCCTATTTAATTAATTTTTGCGAAAAATAAATGTAAGTTAAAAGACTATAGCCTACTGAAAGTTTAGCAATCTTAAACATGCGAGATCAACCCTCCCATGCAGGAAAGCAAACAAAATCCCCAAATTGTTGAGATAAAATGACATTCATCTTTTCACTTTTTATTCATGTATTCATAAGGCGTCGAGGCTAGGGGACTGGCGCCTAGGTCCGTCTCCCCACCTACATGCGGCCGTCCAGTGAGGCTGGAATGGCTCCTAAAACAAACAACAGGTTGGATATTGTAGCTGTCGATTATTAAAGTGTCGCAGGCACAATGGTGACTCTATGTTCCATTCGATACGCTTGGGGGACTCTTTGGAAAATGGGCACAAAATGTGTCCCAGTGGGGGCTTCCAGCGTGATGGAGTCTGCATGCTGCGCACCCCACTTCTGTCTCCGGGGAAACGAGGTGCACTGGAAGGATTATAATCATCATAGTAATATTTCTAAATAATAATATTAATAATAATAATAATAATGTATCTGTGGACAATTGGTATTTATTTATTTATTTGGTATTTTTAAAGCCTTCATGGAACAGCCCAGATTCAGATGATTGGTGATGACTAATTAATTTGTGTGACTTGTCTACAACTTTAGGCAACGGCAGACCTTGAAAAATATCCTTCATGTTTTAGTTAATTTTCCTATTTGTTTGATAAAGGCTTTATAAAACATATAAGGCTGTGCACGCATCTCTCTCTCTCTCTCTCTCTCTCTCTCTCTCTCTCTCTCTCTCTCTCTCTCTCTCTCTCTCTCTCTCTCTCTGTCTGTCTGTCTGTCTGTCTGTCTCTCTCTCGCTCTCTCTCTCTCTCTCTCTCTCTCTCTCTCTCTCTCTCTCTCTCTCTCTGTCTGTCTGTCTCTCTCGCTCTCTCGCTCTCTCTCTCTCTCTCTCAATTCAATTACATTCAAAGGGTTTTATTAGCATGGGAAACATATGTTTACATTGCCAAATCAAGTGAAATAGATAATACACAAAAGTGAAATAAACAATAAAAAATTAACAGTAAACATTACACTCACAAAAGTTCCAAAGGAATAGAGACATTTTAAATGTCATATTATGACTATGTGTTGTAAAGATGTGCAAATAGCTAAAGTACAAAAGGGAAAATAAATAAACATAAACATGGGTTGTATTTACAATGGTGTTTGTTCTTCACTGGTTGCCCTTTTCTTGTGGCAACAGGTCACAAATCTTGCTGCTGTGATTGCACACTATCTATTGGGTATTTCACCCAATAGATATGGGAGTTTATAAAAATTGGATTTGTTTTGGGAATTCTTTGTAGGTCTGCGTAATCTGAGGAAATATGTGTCTCTAATATGGTCATAGATTTGGCAGGAGGTTAGGAAGTGCAGCTCAGTTTCCACCTCATTTCGTGGGCAGTGTGCACATACACTACCAGTCAAAAGTTTGGACACACCTACTCAGTCAAGGGTTTTTCTTTATTTTTACTAATTTCTACATTGTAGAATCATGGTGAAGACATCAAAACTATGAAATAACACACATGGAATCATGTAGTAACCAAAAAAGTGTTAAACAAATCGAAATATATTTTATATTTGAGATTCTTCAAATTGCCACCCTTTGCCTTGATGCCAGCTTTGCACACTCTTGGCATTCTCTCAACCAGTTTCACCTGGAATGCTTTTCCAACAGTCTTGAAGGTGTTTCCACATATGCTGAGCACTTGTTGGCTGCTTTTCCTTCACTCTGCCGTCCGACTCATCCCAAACCATCTCAATTGAGTTGAGATCAAGGGATTGTGGAGGCCAGGTCATCTGATGCAGCACTCCATCACTCTCCTTCTTGGTCAAATAGCCCTTACACAGCCTGGAGTTGTGTTGGGTCATTGTCCTGTTGAAAAACAAATGATAGTCCCACTAAGCCCAAACCAGATGGGATGGCGTATCGCTGCAGAATGCTGTATCACAGACTGTGTCAGCAGCAAAGCACCCCCACACCATAACACCTCCTCCTCCATGCTTTATGGTGGGAAATACACATGCAGAGCTCATCCGTTCACCCACACCACGTCTCACAAAGACATGGCGGTTGGAACCAAAAATCTCAAATTTGGACTAGAGCAAGGGACACATTTCCACCGGTCTAATGTCCATTGCTCGTGTTTCTTCATCCAAGCAAGTCTCTTCTTATTATTGGTGTCCTTTAGTAGTGTTTTTTTTTGCAGCAATTCGAAGGCCTGATTCACACAGTCTCCTCTGATGTTGAGATGTGTCTGTTACTTTAACTCTGTGAAGTATTTATTTGGGCTGCAATTTCTGAGGCTGGTAACTCTAATTAACTTATCCTCTGCAGCAGAGGTAACTCTGGGTCTTCCATTCCTGTGGCAGTCCTCATGAGAGCCAGTTTCATCACAGCGCTTGATGGTTGTTGCGACTACACTTGAAGAAACTTTCAAAGTTCTTGAAATTTTCCGTATTGACTGACCTTCATGTTGTCAAGTTCTTTAAAGAACGGGTCAGACCAAGGCGCAGCGTGATATGCGTACATGTTTATTTAACGATAAACACTCGACAAAACAACAAAGGAAACGAAACGTGAAGTCCAAGGTAGAACACACAACATACCTTACAAGGAACAAGATCCCACAACTACACAGTGCCAATAGGCTGCCTAAGTATGGTCCCCAATCAGAGACAACGAGCGACAGCTGCCTCTGATTGGGAACCACACCGGCCAACATAGAACTACACATACTAGATAATAAAACATAGAACATACACAACAAAGAATATACACACCCTGACTCAACATATAAGAGTCCCCTGAGTCAGGGCGTGACACATGTCTTAAAGTAATGATGGACTGTCGTTTGTCTTTGCTTATTTGATCTGTTCTTCCCATTATATGAACTTGGTCTTTTACCAAATAGGGATATCTTCTGTATTCCACCCCTACCTTGTCACAACACAAC